GAATTTTCCAACAATGACATGAGTAAGTCTGACATTTTTAATTAAATTTCCCAAAATTTGTTCTCATCCAGGTTGGACTGCAGTTTCGGCCTCGCCTGGGTCTTATTAACATCCATAGCGTAAGTCGAACCGTGACAGTTCAGCACGTAAGACGTTAACCACTCAGCCACATTGCCACGAGTGCCCTTTTGGCACAGGACAGCTGTGTCAAGCTCACATGCTGCACTGTCACGATTCGACTTCCGCTAGGGGTGTTAATAAGACCTAGGCGAGGTCGAATTGCAGTCCATTCTGGATGAGAACACTTTTTGGAAAGCAAGGCTATGTGAAATTTAACGGCTCTACTCATCAGTGGGAAAATTATACTACCAGTCCTTCCTCACCTTAAACGAAATAGGGTAAATGCATCATATCTCGAAACTCGAGGCATTATTTCCCATGATTTACCTCAAACGCTTGATAGCACATACACTAGCCTCATCAAGTAGGCCCTTAAGCCTATATAAGAGACTAAATTAATTTTGTCTACTGGATAGCGGTCAGGCCTTTACTTCTTAGACCTCCTCATAATAAACCCCAATCCTAAACATCATATGTTATTTTAAAGGATACAATAACGAAAGCCAGACAGCGTGTGTTTACCTGGCTAATAGTTGCCAAAGTATTTACCTTTTAAGTGATGTCCAGCAAATATTGCGAGAAATCACAGAAATATTAGCTCTATCCCCCACAGTCAACTGATCAATGCTTCTGCTTTTTATGAAGACACAAGGGATTCAGTCTTGGATCCTTTCAGTCAGGAGACGGTTTGTGTTTATTGCTTGAGTGTTGTACTATTATCGTTATTGCACTTTTCCATGAGCAGATAATGATTATAAAGACTGATATAAGTTGATTAATCCAAGTGACTAGAATAAAGGTCGATATATTTTTCTTACAAGTTTTACCTTTCAGCCACTGGTAGTGCTTACCTTTAGTCCAAATAGGTAAAATATATTGATAGTCCACAAAGAACTCAGGTATAGGATGAAACATTGCAAGAAACAACTGATCAAATCAGAATGAAGCAAAACTGTTGAGTTTGCATCTTAACTTAATTGGAACGCGGACTATCTGGCATATTGCATCTTTAGACTTATTTCTTTTTGCTTACAGTGTTCTAACAAAACAATGGCTACCAAAGAGCTTGCCGCTTTGGCAATCGCTCGTTTCGATCTTCCCGGAGATCCAGGTTTCCCACGTGAACTTAATAATCTCTACGCCAAACCAAAAACTCCTACCGAGGCAGAGCAGATGCGCTCCTATCTCACTCAGTTACGTCAAGAGATGGGAGTAAGGCTAATCGACAAAGTCTTTCTTAGTGATACCTCACCGCCCAGCAAGGTAATTTCCCCTTATCGCACATCATAGTCTGTCGTAATTTATGGTAAATTTCTAGTTGTACTTCCGATCAAATATCTTTCAAGTGCATCATAAGCAGGCAAAGTCAGATTGCCTTTTTTGAGACATGTATGATTAAGTAGTAACGAGCTACGAATCAAAGCCATCAAATCAAATGAGTATTTTGATACTCAGTCTTAATTGTAGGCCTGCAACCTATCCTATAACGTTTCATTACATTAGATTGTTTATCGGTCCTTTGTCTGCCATGCCACCAAGGCAACAAAGATTCAGGATATCTAGGGTGTATACTGACTCGGGTTATAGGTGAAAAATTTTAGCACTACTCTTGACTAAGAATGCAGAGTGTTTTGATAACGGAAAATCAGGAGATATTTTTTAATGTCCTAGATCGCAAAAAAGATAAATCAAATAGACGTCTAGTATTACTGAGTAGAAATACGACGATTTGTAAAAGAAAT